TTCTCTCTCTCTCTCTCTCTCTCTCTCTCTCTCTCTCTCTCTCTCTCTCTCCCCTTTACTCGATAAACCCACCACCACGTTTCCGCTTTTTCCCGCCCCTTCGTATCCGTGAAATTAGTTTTTTCCCAGGGAATCGGTTTTACTCGATATTATTACCCGATTTCGAGGGTAATTCCCTCGTTTCCTCGTGGAAACAGATTGGATAGGAGCGGATTGGCTGAGAGACTCCTTCCTTTGTCGCGCCGTTGCGGGAATATTAATCGAGTCCGAGTGGAAACGTTGCCCGACCGAAGGAGGGGCAGAAGGGGAGGAGGAGGTATCGCGGCGACGACAAAGTTATCGGTCGGAAAACGAAAGAGAGGGAAATAGAAGACGAGAAGAAGGCAGGGAAATTTACTTTTCGAGTCTTCACCCTCCTCGAAGCGACTCGTAAATCTGTGTAAGGTGAGCGAGGAGGGGGGGAGGAGGAGGAGGAGGAGGAGGGAGAAAGGTCGGAGGTGAGAGGCGCGGAACGGGAACGCGGGGCCACCCTCTCTTTCGAGATTGCTGTTCGAGCGGGACAGCTCGGTCGATAAAACAATTGCCGGGGGGATAATCGGCATTATTTACGCCGGATTCTCTCGGCAGATAGGCGAGGGTAGCAGCTGGGAGCGGGGCTGGTCCGGTTGGGGGAAGGGCGGGAAGAAGGGTCGCCGTATCACGAGCCGGAATGTACTCTGCGGAAGGGTAGTTGGAAGAAGATTCCCCGCCAGTTATAAGCCTAGGGTGATCTCGCGCACCGGCTTCGCCGGCTTACGGCTTATCCCACTGATCCGCCCTCGCCGTTAAACTGCTCTCAATTAGATACGTCACTGGATTTCGATGTCAACCGGGTATACCCGGCATAAAGCCGCGATCTCTCCCTCGGGACGTCTCTCTCTCTCTCCCTCTATCCGATTCGACGTGCGTGCCAACAAGAATCGTCCCTCCTCTCCTTTCTCTCTCTCTTTGCTTTTTCCGCAGACAGAAATTAGCCTCTAAGTAGATGTCCGTTTAGGTTGGCCGATATCGGTCGAATCGGTCGCGGCGGAGGCAATTTCGCGATTACGAATGGCACGCGAACCCCGCCGGCCGGCCCCTTCGAATAAAAGCCGAAACGAATTTCTTTCTTTCTTTTTTTTTTTTTTTCCACGAATTCGAATAAACGGTTGCGGTGAAAACGTTCGCCTCGCCTCGCCTCGCCTCGCCTCGCCGCGCCGCGCCGCGGCTCGGCTCGGCGTCGGCCAAATGTTCTTTCTCTGTCCGGAACCGCGCGCCTGTACGTGTACATAATAGTTCGAATAGGACGGGAAGATGGCCGACACAATGGCCGCGAATTCCCGCGGGCACGCTTCTTTCCTCCTCTCCCCCCTCCCGTCGACGTCGGCCAAACGTCTAAACACGTTGACACGCGATTCCACGGGAACCGCAGTAACCGCTGTGCTTAAACGCCATTCTACGGGCCACCGCCACTCTACCGCCGATCGCGCTACTCTTTTGTGCTCGTTCGATAAATATACCCTTTTTTTCCAACCTCGCCCCGTATCCGTATAATAAAAGAAAGAAAGAAAGAACCGGTCCCAATCTCCGCGTCTTTCAACGCCGTCCCTCCTTTTCAACCCGATTCTTCTGTTTTTTCGTAAGTCGGCCGGCAAACCGCTAACGAGCGTCTATCCGTTTGGAAGGAGAGACGAATAGACGGGACCGCCCCTTCGTTCGAAACGATCGCCTCTCAAAATAGAGGTATTACGGTATTTATTCTCTGCACGCGAATAACGCGCATTCGAATTTGTATCGGGAGAAACGTTCGCGGCGATGTTGATCTTGGAAATATGTAAACGGAGGGGGGGAAGGGACGATGACGAAGTGGTACGGTACGTCAGTCAGTCAGTCACTCAGTCGGTTAGTTATTCAGTCAGTCAGTCAGTCAGCGAATAAGAGAGCGAGCGAGCGAGCGAACGAACGAACGAACGAGTCCCTTTTGTTGGACAGGGTGCATGCGTAATAAGGTAGTCGCGCCATGTATATATATATATATATGTATATATATCTCACTCCCTTTTTTCGCGTCCCTCTCTCCGCTGAGCTTCGCCTTCGGGATCCCTCCTACGATCCCTCGATACCACCCTTCCTCGGCGATACGCGAAGGAAGGCGGTGTGGCCTCTCTCCTTTCCTACCAAATCCTCTCGCAAATACGTTGCCAGCCGCTGCTCGCAACTGTTCCACGCTTACATATACATGGGTAAACAACCCGTGTTCCGTCCTTCCATGCAAATTAGATTCGAACTCGATACGACCCGACGGTCCGCGTCGTCTACGAGTCTAGAAAATTTAATTTCTCAACACCGACCACCGATTCAAAATGCGATCGTGACTCGAGCTCAACGTTCTCTCTTTCTTTTATACCGCTATTCCTTCGAATTATCTTTCTTTTTTTCTCGCTTTCTTTTCTTTTTTCGCAAAATAACACGCGCACACACACACACACACACACACACACACACACACACGATACGTTCCATTGTAGGATCGCGCGAACGGAGAGAAAGGTTCGAAGATGGAGGAAAAACTGTCGAGGGATGAGCGACGAGATCCCATCGATCTCGATAATCGCGATTCGACGCGACCGAGTCACCATTTTTCGTTTTTTTTTTTATTTTATAAATTCGTCTTCTTCGATGACGAGAAAACTAACCGTAATTCTTTTGCTTTTCTCTCTTCTTTCGTCGAATTCGAAAAAATTCTTACTTCTTTTTCTGGTTCGGCTCGCGTTCTCCCATTGGTGACGAAATCGTGAGGCGAATAATAGACGAAGATAGATTCGGTCGACGATTCGAGAATGGTGGTGCCATCTAGAAACGTATCTCGGAAGTAAGGGGGATGGATGGGAGATAAGAGATACTGTTAGTCTCGAAGGAAAGAGCGACACCGGAGCGAATCGCGGCGCGCGAGGAAAAGTTACGAGAGAAAGATCGAAGGGTGGAGAGTCGAAGTCGTTTCTTCCGTTCGAATTTCGTTTCTCGGATTCTCGTGGAGGATCGTGCGAGAGGACCCCCTATGGACCCGAAAACACGCATATACACCGCGAGTGAGGCGCGCGCGCTGTTCACCGCGATTCCGACGGATCCTGGGATTCGATGGGAACAAAAGAACGTTGGTTTATGCGATGGAAGGCGTGTTTGTTATTCCGATGAGGTATAATGGGATGGATCTTGGGTGTTGATGCATGGCGCGTAGCAGGGTGCCGGAGTCCCAGAATCCCATGGATCGAAATGGAGATCGGTACGGGCCCCGTAGGCTTTCGAGAGAGAGACCCCTGTAGACAGGGGCCGCAACACGTCCATCACGTGTCACGGTTATGTATTTAGACATATCTCACTACTATCTTCCATATCGTTCTTCTTCCTCCCCTACCTCCCTTTTCCCATTTCTCTTCTCCCCTTTTAGACGATCCTCCCGTATTCGTCTTCACTTGCTACCAGCTTATCGCTGCGCCTTCCTAATCGAGACGGAGAGGATCCCTCGTAAAAATATTACCCTGTCCCCCCCTTATACCACCGCGTAGTCACCGTTTTTTCGTAAATACGTTCTTCGCCTCGAAACTTTTCAACGAACGATCGTATCGATAAATCGCTCCGTCTATATATACACACACACACACACACACACACATATATATACTCGCTTAATTTCCTAAACGATGTCCGCTCCCTTTTCTCTCTCTTTTTTTCTTCTCCTCTCCTACTCTTTGTATCCTCGTATTATTACCGAATAATATACGCATCCATCTTCTCTCTCTCTTTCTCTCTCTCTCGTCCAATATCCGCGCTGCTAGTTCTCTTCGTCGATTGAATTTTTTATCGGACGTTCGACTAACGCGCGAGCCTGTTTCCGAACCGGTATCCCATTCGTCCTGCCGCTTCTCTCTCTCTCTCTTTCACTCTAAAAAAATGTTTTCGATATCTCCATGCCGCGCATTTCCGCTTTTTTTTCCGAGGGAAGCAAATACGAGCGAGCAAACTTTCAAAACTTTTATTATTCGTCGCAACAAAAGAACGTAACAAACGACATTAGACATGTTACGAAAGAAGAAAAAGAAGTGAGGGAAAGGCTCGTAGTACGAAGGTATATACGAGCTTAATCGCCGTTCGCGACCAATCTTCTCGATTTCACCATAAAATTGACGAAACCGTCCACATCCTCGAGCTCCTTCGAGTAAAATTTCGCCGCTATCGTGCCGCGTCCCTCGTGTCTCGGCACCATGGAGAATGAACACTGGGCGTAAGCTCCCGTCTGCACCGTTTCCGACAATTTCACTTTCAACTGCTCGTCCAGGCCAGGACCCTCGATCAGGAAACGGCCCTTGTTCAACGGGATCGGCAACGGATTCTGGAATTTGGCCGTCGCCTTCAACTCGTCCCCCGCTATCGCCTCGTTCTCCAACTACGAAAATGCAGCGAATCGGTGAGAATCTTCTCGATCGTCGAGAAGGCAGGCGGTCGTCGCGCTTACCGTGATCGCGATGTCGGGCTTCCTCACGCGGAAATCGTCCTGGGCAAAATATTCGAAATTGGTGTCCTTGACGGTGGCGAGGCAGGCAACGTTGAACGCGCATTGATCCAATAACCGGGGCCCGTATTCCTGCCAGGACACCTCCATGCGCACCTCCTCCACCGCCCCCGCCCTCACCACTCGATCCACACTCCATCTTTTCACCGGCTCGCCGACCCTCCCCGTGTACAGCACCGTCTCCACTCTCAGAATCACCGACACCCGATACTCTTTCCGATCGCTCTTGTTCCTGATCCACAGCACCACGCTGCTCAACCAGATCCGTGCATGAGTATCCTTCATGCAAGGAGGAGGAGGAGGAGGAAATGGGAGAAGTTTACCTGAACGGTTGTCCTATCACGATATCGTCCCTAAGCTCAAAGTCGAACGTGACGTCGTTGAATTCCTCGTTGAGATAGTAACGGCTGAACAAGGATTGGCTCTGGCGCAACGCCTTCAACATGGCGGCCCGCTCCTCTTCCGATTCTACGGAATTCGAACAAAACACACAAGTTTCTCTCCATTCTCAAATTCTTTTCCTCTGCTTATCCTTACTTTCCGGATACTTGTAGGTGTGAGTGATGTCCTCTCTCGCCCATCTGCCCACCGCCTTCGTGCTGATCAGTTGGCCGATCCTACGGAAACGCGGAAGAGTCAGAGGAGAATTACTTAACCTAACCTTCTCGTTACTACGAACGACTATAGGCATAAGATAGACCGCGTATCGTACGGTACGACGAACGATTGGAATTGGTGCACATCAAGTATCTTTCTTTGAAAACGTAGCGTCGATATTCGTTTTTATCGTTAGTTTTTTTTTTTCGAATAAACACCTCGTCGAAGCAACTCGTGTCGCGATAAGTGCGCAAACGCGGCCGCTGACGATCTTTCTCGAGCAAACCGTGCGCATCTTTAGCTCGTTCAACCGCGAAATGTCGCGGAGGAAGAGTCGCCCGTAGTTAAAGGATCAACTCATTGCACTCGTATTTATATTTAATCCTTTCGCTATTACGGGCCGACTATAGTCGCTCTGCACAAGATGCCGTATATTGTACGATATGACGAGCGATTCGAGCACGTCGAATTATCTTTCTCTGAAAACGCGTCGATATTTCGTTTTTATCGTTAGTTTTTTTTTTTTTTCGAATAAACACCTCGTCGAAGCAACTCGTGTCGCGATGAGTGCGCAAACGCGGCCGCTGACGATCTTTCTCGAGCAAACCGTGCGCATCCTTGGCTCGTTCAGTGATTCGCGAAGTGTCGCTCGTAACGTTAAAAAGTTGATCCTTTGCGTTCGTATTTATATTTATAAGAATATATTTACCGATCAACTCGGAATTTCTTCTTCATACTCGATCGAGATGAAAACATTTCTTTGGTAACATATTACTTTCGTAGTGAAAAAAATTTGAGAAATACGTAAATTTTATCCGCAAAATGTATTAACGAAATGTAGAATACCGACATACGAAAGTGCAAAGGAGAGACGTCGGACACGCTCACCCGTACGAGTCCTTCCGGATGAGCTTCAACGGCTGGGTGGGCCCGTTGTATCGCCAAAACACCTTGTCCGCGTTCACCTCGGCGAAGAGGAAAGCGTTGTCGTACGGGCGCAATACCTCGCCTCTTTTCACGCCTACCACGGACGCGGGCCCGCACCTGTACGCGTCCTCGCTCAACTCCTGAGGGGTGGCGTCGATCGCCTGCCATCCTGAATACTCGGCCGATATGTCGTCCCGTCTCATCCACACCTCGTTCCACACGTGGAAATTCCTGCGAAGAAGAAGGGCGAAGGATAAAGAGACAAAGGGAAGGAAGAGATCTCGCGCACTTGCCATATCGAGTCGCTGTTCAACTCCTCCATCGCCCTCCCCTCGGCGTCCACGAAGTAGTCGACGGTGAGGCTGCTCTGCGTGTCGTGGGCGCTCGCGTAATTGGTCACGACGCGGCACGGGAGGCCGAGGGCACGGCAAATGGTGGCCAACACGCCCGAGAACACCCAGCACTGCCCGTACTTGACCGGTTTCCTCGTCCTGTAGTACTGCTGCAGTATCTTCTGCGAGCCCAGCCACTTGGTGGCGGCGTGCCACCCCCGAAATCGTCCGACCAATTCCCCATCACCGCCCCGTTGTCGTCCGCCGAGTTCACCTTCCGACAAACCAACGTGCGTATCCCAAGCAACCAAGGAAGGAAGGAAGACACGTGCTGTTACTCACGGCTGCGGACAGGACGCGGCACACGACGACTGGGTCGCGCCTCGCCGAAACTCGAACCTTCCCGACCTGGATCATCAGGTGCAACGCGCAATCCAGTATGTCGCGCTCGAACTGCGAGTACTTCCACACGGTTGGCCTGAGGCGGTTGTGGCTGCCGCGCCATATCAGCCCGTCCTCCGCCATCACGTACTCCTGCCGCTCCTCCTCGTCCTCCATGTAAACCGCGTCCTCTGAAAAGTGAGGAAGAAAGCACACGCGCGATTCAAAAAAAACTTGAAAATACAGAGGAGGTGAAAAAGTGAATCTCTACCTCGGCACCAAGGATTGAAGAGGAGGTAGAACGGGTGCTTCATCGTGTAACTGATCGCCCCTTGCGAGTTCTTGTTCTTCGTGTCGATGTCCATCCTCCACTTGCCTATTATCGCGTCCGGGGCGGGGACGATCTGCGGGTCGAAGAGGGGTTGAAGAAGAGGAGGAGGGGGGAGGGGGGGAGGTATTACCTTGAGTCGAGCGAAATCGGAGTGAAGGGAGTCGATGGTCGCCTGCCAGGTTGCGGGGGACCGTTCGCCGGGGTAGAGGACGGGGGTGGCTACGAGGGTGCCGTGGCCGTATTGGGGCCTGTCGACCCCGTCCACGGTGAACACTATGGACACGGCGTCGACGGCCGGGTCGTAGTCCCTGGACAAGGCGAGGTGCAGGTAGAAGGGTTGGCCGCGTCTCACGACCAGCCTCGAGCCGTCCCCAGCCCGGCTCATCGCCTCGTACCTCGACGTCCGGTGGTTCGCCCCGTTCTCGCCGATGCACGGGTCCACGTCCAGGATCGTGAGCACAGGCACGCTCAGGTCCTCCCCTGCGGTCGCAATTACGAGGCCAGGTTGTTTTTTGGTGGTTCGATATCGATCGTTTAATTCGTGTGGCGAGAGGGAGAAATTAATTTGCCGATTCTCTTTCTTTTTTTCGAAAAAGAAGAGCGAAATTAAAAATTTTTCGATCTTTTTTTCTTCGAAAAATTGAAAATTTTTCGACCCTCTTTTCTTCTTTT